ACCAGAGTAGTAGGGGGGAAATAATCTAATTCAGCTCACTCTAATTTATATCACAACAACCTCAGGAAGACAATGTCCTGAAAATTAGCTTTGTTGGAACCTGACTCTTCCCCAAAAAGCATTATTTCATGACTTATACTTCCAATTTAGTATGAGAGAAAATAATAACTGAAGTACTTAACTTTTGTAAAGCTATCATACACACATTAGAGAATGGGAAAACAAGTCTTTCACAGAAGTGCTAGAATATTCCAGTGTGATTTGCAAACACAGTAGTGTAGTTATAGAAGATAATTTTAATATATAACAACCTGAAAAGCATACCTTACTGCATACAGTAATTCAATTAAACACAGCCAACTAAATGCTGCTCAAGCAGTAAACTTTTTTGTTCATGTTTTATACTAGACAAAATGTAAAAAATAACAGGCCTATTAATATAAAATGTCAGCACCAAGACACTGAACACTCATATCCAGATACCACTCACAGACAGAGCTAGGATACCTATCATTTAATCTGTTTTTATTAAATGAGTCACTTTTGAAATTAACACTCAAGTGCAGTTTTCACAGAATCACAGAATGCTATGGGTAGGAAGGGACGTCGAAAGATCAGTCAGTTCAACCCCCCTGCCAGAGCAGGATCCCTTAAGGCAGCCACACAGGAACCCGTCCAGGTGGGTTTTGAAAGTCTCCAGAGAAGGAGACTCCACAATCTCCCTGGGCAGCCTGTGCCAGGGCTCTGTCACCCTCACAGTAAAGAAGCTTTTCCTAATGTTTTTCTGGAACCTGCTATGTTCCAGCTTGTATCTGTTGTCCCTTGTCCTGTCATTGGATATCACTAAGAAGAGCCCAGCTCCATCTTCCTGAGATTCTCCCTTGACATATTTATAAACATGAATGAGGTCACGCCTCAGCCTCTTCTTCTGCAAACTAGAGAGACCCAGCTCCTTCAGCCTTTCCTTATCAGGGAGATGTTCCACTCCATCATCATTGTGGCTCTGCGCTGGACTCTCTCCAGATTCCAGATGTGGCCTCACCAGGGCAGAGTAGAGGGGCAGAGTAGAGGGGCAGGAGGACCTCTCTCTATCTAGTAGTCACTTTCCTTCTAACACATCCCAGGATGCCATTGGCCTTCTTGGCCACGAGGGCACACTGCTGGCTCATGGTCGTCCTGTTGTCCACTAGAACCCCCAGGTCCCTTTCTCCTACACTGCTCTCCAACAGACAATCCCCAACCTGTATTGGCATATGGGATTATTCTTTCTCAAGTGCAAAACTCTACACTTGCCTTTGTTGAACTTCATCAGATTTCTCCCTTGCCAGCCCTCCAGCCTGTCTGGGTCTCTCTGAATGGCTGCACAGCCCGCTGGGGTGTCAACAGTTTTGTGTCATCAGCAAACTTGCTGACAACGCTCTCTAATCCCTCATCCAGGTCATTGATGAATATATTGAAAAACACTGGCCATAGCACTGACCCCTGAGGGACCCCACTAGACACAGGCCTCCAGTTAGACTCAATGACCAGAACTCTCTGACTTCTTTCCTGCAACCAGTTAACAACCCACCTCATTACTCGGCCATCCAGACCACACTGCCTCAGTTTACCTATGAGGATGCTGTGGGACACAGTGTCAAATGCCTTGCTGAAATCCAGATAGACCACATCCACTGCAGGGTCACCATCCATCCACCTGGTTATGTCTTCATAAAAGGCTCTCAGGTTGGTCAAACATGACTTCCCCTTGGCAAAGTCATGCTGACTGCTCCTAAGGACCCTTTTATCCTTGACATGCCTAGAGACAGCACCGAGAACATCACCTTTCCAGGAATGGAGGTGAGGCTGACTGGCCTGTAGTTACCTAGGTCCTCCTTCCTGCTCCCTTTTTGAAGGTATATTTTTATATGAAAACATCAATATGTTTGCGTTTTGATTTTATGGAAATTGGGAGATTTATCACAAGACTAAAGGAGGAAATGCTACTTTATTTGCAAAATGTCCTTAGAGGTGCACATTAACATGTATGTTAACACATGTTTATTTGCAGTTTTCAATCAGAAGTCTCAATTCACATTTCACTAGCATTACCATTGCACTGACTGAGGACATGAATTCAAATGCATTAAAGAAATACCAATCACACAATAGATATATCATCTAGCTACTCACTGTAACAGTCTCACATTAAGCATCACAGATCCTCTAAGCTTGTTAGCAAAGTAAAATTAAAAGTACCTAGTAAAATCCTTCATTTTATACATTTGCCTCAGAAAACCTGTAGGAACTAAGCCAGTTTACAATAAAAACAAAAGAAATTAAATCCAGACTTTCATCAGGGAAAGATTTTTATGTCCCTTCTCCTCTTGCAAAGAAGAGGAAGGTAAAAACTAAAGAAGTTCGATGCTCAGCATAAGCACCACAAATCAAAAGTGTTGCGATTACATCTGAAGGTCATTTATAACAGTATTACGACAAAGCAGAAAAAGAATGGAGGCAAGAGGACAGAAGGAAACAACTATAGACCCAAGAACAACGGTAAAAACATCATACTTCTAAGGGTAAATGTCAAAAAACACACAACCCTTCTACTGCAAATTCCATCCCCTCACCTCCAAAGTTTTACTTGGCTTTAGAGTCATTAAACAATTCAGTCAAGAAAAATTGGGAAAAAGAAAATTACTGAACCACAACCATTAGGAAATTACTTACCACATACAGGAATACCTGTACACAAGCTAGAAATTTGTATGCAAGCACAAACATTTCGCACAAAGTAAAATTTTGTTATGGAGCTAAACATACACATAACAAGTCTTCTTAAAAGAAGGCACTTGATAAGAAGCATTATCTCCAGTTTCAACATGTCTGATAAGGAGTAAAGAAAGGCAAAAATTAGTAACTTTGGTTCCTTTAAGTGAAACTGTTCAGGAATAATAAAGGCTTAAAAATTGGGAACTTCACCACACTCAGTTACTGCATCCTCAACAAGATGTTTCATGTATCAAGGCTGATGTCTTAAAAATACTCTATAGATAACAAAGAGGGTAGGATCAAGGTTTCAGATTTAACTTTATAAGTCTTCTCAAGCTTTGTTTCAGCCTCTCCTGGACATCTCAGGGATGCTTGCTATTAAAGCTGTTTTATTTAACACCAAGACAAAGTCTTTAACAAAGCCTTCCCTCAATGAAAGTATTACTCACTGAAATCAATTTGCACTAAAAAAGAATCAGAGCATTACAGCTGTGTTTAAGATCTTTAACTCAATGGCTGTATCTCAGTAACAATGACATTAAATTTCACTTAACGAATCTTTCATGCTAACAGAACACTTCAATTTGAGGGGAATAATTCTTGGAGTTTAAGATAAGTCTTAAAGTAAGATCAAGACAAAGAAACCACCCCCTTTCAGTTTTCGTTAAAAATTATATAAAAATAGGAGATGACAAATACAATGTTTTAGCTGTCATCTCCAAATCAAATACTGATAACATTTAAATTTACTCTGGGGAGCCTAGTTGTAGGCCAATAGGATGAACTACAAAGCATTTTGTGAGCTAAAAGCATGCATATTTTACATAAAATACAGGTTTGAAAAATAATTTACAAAAATCTAGAGGATGAAATTAGTGATATTAGAAATTTGTTGCTATGAAGAGTTAATTAAGCATGCACGTGCTACATACTAGTAGTGGAACTTAAACATGAAACTTTAGTGATAAGACCAAACAATAACTTCTGTATCCGAAACGGTAGCTTAAGGACACATGACAAATGAAGAAATAAAAATCAAAGAATCACGAGTGTCTCTATACTGAGCATCTGTTACAGGTATGTATGGCAAAGTTAAAAACATATCGCAGAAGTGAAGTACATTTAGCAAGAAAACCCCATCCTCAAAATCAAATGAGATCTCTGATTTGCAAGCACTCCTGTAAGTCTGATAACAGTGCTGAAGCAGCAAACCTTTAACTACCACTACTCTGAACGCTAAAAGCAAGAGAGCAAGTTGAACAGAGATAATATACGGTATTTCTTAAAAATGTAAGTACAAAACTTTGTTCCTTTGAAGGAAATAATTATATTCTTACAGGACACAAACAATAGTAAGTGTAAACTCTCTAAGATTCATTCTGCTTTGCCTTTACAATCATTGTTACAGGGCACATGTAATTTAACAGATCTGTATAAATGAAATAATTCCTCAGCACTTTTTCTTCTAACGTGCTTAATCCAAGTGAACAAACCTTCAGAATATTATTTTGAAACAATTTTAAAAGCTGAAACATAATTTTCAAGCTTGCATTAATAAGAACCATAGCCACAACTGAAATAAAATACTTCACTGTAGAAAATTGTTACACTTAGTTGCTGCAGCCACAATCTCTCCATACTGTAACAGAAACAGCTATGTGCTTTATTTAGTTTTTGTTTTTATATTTTGGGATTCAAAGGAGTTAAAGTTGCCATCTCAGTACTGCAAGGAAAATAGAGATGCTAGAGTACAAATAAAACATCTCCTGTGTCAAAGAAAAATAAAGCAAAAGGAGCAGTAGACTTGCCCATTCCTGAATCAAACAAAAAGCCCATTTTTAACGGAAATAAACACTACATAGATGAAACAAAATCCAATTTCTACCTCCAAACTACTTCCAAAGCATTATATTATAGGGACTATAAAAATTTCCTAATACAGTAAAAGGACTATGGATATTCCCTAAGTTAGAGATACTGATCCGAGATTCATGTCACTCATGGTAAGATTTACCCGTTATCAAAGCCATGAGCTCCACAGGGACAAAACACAGACCCTACCGGCACACAAGGAGCAAAAGGCAAGCATCATGGAAGCCTTACTGTCATGGTCACAGCAAGACTGAACATCTTTATGTCTTGCACATATTCCACTACTGTGCTCTGGGTCGGGTTTTTGGTGTTTGAAGGGAGAAGCTCAAAATATACTCATTCAAAACAAATTCCACTGCCACTGAGATACTTACCTGGACAAAGCAGGAACTGGTACTCCTCTTGCTCGAATAGATGGTTTTCCACGAACTACTGGAACTTCTGCGTTTTCTGAACCACCATTTAAATATGTTAATTCCTGAAGTTGTGCCTGTCTGATTTCATCGTTGTAGTCCTAAAAGCAGAGGGCAGAGTGAGAAAGAATACAAACTGTTCAACCATCACACCAAGTTAGAATCAGCAAACATTGCCCCTCAAAGTTTCCTCCTAAAAAGTTGAACAACTCACTGAAAAATCTTTAATATGTAGAACATTATTGGCGTATTATCCAGTCAAAAAATTCTAAAACAAATCTGCATATTAAGTGCAATTTTTGCTCAGGCACGTTTTTCTTTCCTACCACACGCTGCGTTCATATAGCTTTACCAATTAAAACACCTATGTTAAAATGCTGTACACAGCAAAAACTAAAAACAATCAAGGTCTCATTTCTGAGTTGATGTCTGATTTGTAGTTCCAGCTAGAGAATAATAGTTTGCTAAGAGCAGGAAAAGATGCATTGCCTGGTGCTGCAAGGCAGTACAGAACACACTGTAGAGAACAGCCCCTGACAACTAAAGAATAGATTAGACATCTACAATTTAAAATCAGAAGTAAGAATAAACAATGTAATTTATTGAATATAAACATGCACTATTATCTAATGACAAGAGCTCCAAAAATTTCAATTCTAGAACATGCAAGGATAAACAACTTGAATATACATGGCTTGTTTCTTATTCTGCATAAATCCTCTCTCAAGGTCTATAAAAAAGAAAGCTGAAGTGATTTGCATGGAATTAATATGGTACTTCCCAAATACATAAGAGTCTTTTCAGGGACCTTGAGCCAACCTCCAAAACCAGCAATTCACACAGGAATAAAATAGATACAGCAATGAACTTAAGCTGTATCTATTTTTCTGCCATTTTCCCTCCATTTCAAGTGAGTCAAAGAATGCATCTGTAAAGGTGAATTAGAAAAATCACTTTATTCCTTGTTTGTACAGACACACCAAGAATCAAAATATTAATAGGTCCTCTAATAAGAATGAATGGATACTTCTGATGCAATAGCTCTTCTGCAAATCCTCTCATTTCAAAGAAGGCAAGTTTGTCCAAATACTTTCTATTTTTACATTTGAATTCCAAAACAAAGGGTCTACATCTGTTATTGAAAATCAGATTTTATAACACTTATGCACTCCACAGGTGCCAAAAGACTGTCAGGCAGCCTTGCATCAGACAACTCACCAAAACTTAACTCACATTGAAAGGAGACTAAGACATCTATAAACTGAAAGATCTCAATAATCCTTTAAGTATTCTGCTTCCTCTAGATTCCACAAACAGAAATAAAAGTTTTCCTTGACATGCCATTGCTGAAGATAACTACTAGTCTTAAAAAAAGCGGCACTACAAAGGCATTTTGTCCAAACTGTCTTAAACAGGCTGTGAAATTTAACTCATCTGTCCGTTTCAGATAATCCTCAATTTAGAAGAAGAAATTAAGCAGCAAACGAGGTGAGCAAAAAAGCCTGCAAGACTGAATCAACTGTTTTAAGAAGTAATTGAAGCTTTTGAGAAACAGATTCCGTTATAAAACAACTTGGAACAAATACACAGCCACAGCATCACAAGGAGTAGAATAGAAACAGGCAGTTGAACACTGCTGGCAAACTACTGCACAGAAACACACTTTATATTTTGTCCCTGGACCAGAACAGGCTACAAATGCAGGATTCTATACAATGTATGGAACAAAGAACTTCAATTATGAAACAAAATGCTAATGAATTATTAAACCTGTACCACAGACAAAACACCTATGTCTCCAAGTACTGACATAAAATACATTAGATATGCCCTTTATACTTTCTCCAGATGTCCTCTTCAGAACTGGGCTCTTCGAAGAACATCTTTGATAGTCATTTGATATTAATTTCATCTAATTTCCTAAGAGCGACACACTTAGGTTGCCACTGTACATGTTAAGTCCTATTCCTTCCTCATGTTTTCTCATTTTCCAGTAGCACATCACTAGACGTACCAGCAGCCTTAATCATAGTCAAGGTCTTCATTGCACAAAGGCACAGAAGAGGAAATATGGTCCTTATCACATATTCCAGAGGCAGGAGGATGACACAGAGGGAAGAGGCAGTATAAGGGACTAACAATATAAGTAATCATGATAAGCAAAGGCATTAATCCATTACACTCCAAAACAGATTCTTCTATTAAAAGTAACAGATTCTGAATTTATGAATAGCCAATGATGGAAAATGGCCCACCAAGTAAAACTTCCCCACCTAGAACACAAGATAGACATGGAAACCCTTTATTGTGCACTCCTCTGCAACATACTCTTTTTTGATTTTTATCTGTCAATTTCATCCAGCCCCGATCAACACACCAGCAACAGCTCTCCTGGGGATCACCTGTAATTTAAGATCTTTTTCCAATTTCTTATTCAAACTATTTAGTAAACACATTTCTTTATCTGATATTAGGACAAACCACTGCAAAACCCAACGCAATTTTGCTGAATACCCAAGCAGATCTTATATCCTGGCAGGGAGCAATAAATAGTTATCATCCAACTTTATACACACATCTTACAGCTATTCACCAGCTTGTTTAGAGAATGAGTTTCCAAAGCCCACCAGCTCTTCCAAATGCCACTAAATATTATTTTATCGCCATACTTTAGAAACTGAGCATGTAGGAGACAAGTTAGACTACAAGCAAAACTTTTAAATTCTGCTCACATTATAAATGTACTGCTAGAGATAATTCTCTCAAATATATTTCTATATTTCACTTTAAAGACAAGGAAACCAAGTAACTTGGGTAACCAACAGCAAAGCATAATTAATGCTGTTGCTGTCAAAAGAGGAATTATCACTACTCAATAATAAAATAAAATAGACTAAGAAAAGTCCAAAACTGCAGTAATCATGTTGTAATACAGGACCTGGAGGCACGTGAGAGTGGAAGTACCTGGCTTTTTGTCTTAACTGATGGAATTAATTTTGGGATAAATTATTATCTGGCACAACATCAATCTAATATTCAAACAGACTACTGACCAGAGGATACAGCTAGAACAAAGAAATTGGTCAATTTAAAGAAGGACTTAAAATAAATAAATAAATAAATAGCTCAAGACAGAGGCCACAATTCTACCTACAGAAACAGGTGAGAATCAGGGCAATGTGATAAACACAGACAAAAAAAACCCTCAAACCAAGGTTTTAAGTCTTCATTTGAGTTATACAGATAGTTTAAGGGAAAATACATCACTGTAGCTGACGGAGGCTGAACTTCAACACAAAAGTACTTGTTCATGGATCTAAGAAGATCTGAGAAGAGAGGCTAGGGCATTTTTCCTGAAGTCAGCTACTACAAGGATATTTTGTATCCCACATAGTAGCACCAATTGTGATTGTATATTCAGGTCTGATCTGCAAAAAGAAATATGACTATATTCATAATTTTAGTTCACCATCTAAAGTTGTTGGAAGGCATAGTTAACTTACATTTTAAGAAGAACATAAATTAAGCTCATAATTATACATACTGATAGTAGGACTTCTTTCTTGAAATAAAACTGATAATTTGTAAACAAAGCCACAATAAACCTTAAAGAAATTGTTAAATCAAGTTGCATTTGGCAGCAGTTAGCCACATGGTAGTTCTAGAGAGGAGAAAGCTGCTCCTTATTGCTTCTTGGAGTGGCTGCTGCAAGTCAGGGGTAAAAGAGATTAAGGCATTTAGAAACATTCTGATAAGATTACATTTGAAAAGCTAAAGGGAAATTAAGACAGTATTGGCTTGATTCTATAGTTCAGAAAAGATTATGTAGCATCAGTTCAGCCCACTAAAATAAAGATGCTACAAACAAGAACAGGGATGGAAAAGCATGCAACCAATGAATCGAATTGCTCATTATCAGCCTACAATTCTACAGGCTTAACAGCAGTAGAGTAACAGCAAGGTTTTGATAAGCTATTTCATTTATTACGATATTATGTGAATCAAGCTCAATGAAGAAAAGTAAGATCTCTGATGAAGGGGGCATGGAGTTCAGAGATATCCTTACTCCCAGTGCATGCAAAAAGCACTTAAACTGACCAAATTTTCATCTAAAATCAAAGCAGCTGTTTACTCATAATAGCAAAGATGTTATTTCTCCCTTATATCTCCAATCAAATCATGACTCACGTAAATGCAGTAACCTTCAACATTATTACAGCCCTACAAATATTCTGTTGGGTTTCCCCTACCTCATCATTCAGGATCATTGAACAGTAATATGTTTGTTTCCCTCTTTTCATATACATCAAGACAAAAGCCACTTGGAACCTGCAAAGTTATAATGTTGTGCTTGCTTCTTTATAATATGAGAATTTAACACTTGGGACAACACTTTGCTTAAGCTGTCTTACAGGGCATTTACATTAGCGTGGTATTTCACACGAGGATGTGTTCCTAGAAGAACCTCCTGATGATTGTCACTCGTCATGTGCTGATTTATGCATTTTATGTATTTGGTTCACGAATTTCTTTGCGTCAGAAATAGTGTCACGAATTTCCTTGTGTCAGAATAGTCAGCGGGAGTAGGGAAGTGATTCTCCTCCTGTACTCGGCCCTGGTGAGGCCACGCCTCATCCTGTGGTCAGTTCTGGGCCCCTCACAACACAAAAGACATTGAAGGTGCTGGAGTGTGTCCAGAGAAGGACCACAAAGCTAGGGAGTGGTCTGGAGAACAAGTCTTATGAGAAGCATCTGAGGGAACTGGGACTGTTTAGCCTGGAGAACAGGAGGCTGAGGGGAGACCTTATCACTCTCTACCACTACCTGGAAGGAGGTTGTGATGAGGTGGGCAAGTCTCTTCTCTCATGGAATAAGCAACACACAAGAGGAAATGGCCTCAAGTTGTGCCACGGGAAGTTTAGATTGAATATTAGAAACAAATTCTTTACTGAAAGAGTTGTTAAACATTGGAATAGGCTGCCCAGTGAAGTGGTTGTGTCACCATCCCTGGAGGAGTTGGAAAGATGTGTAGATGTGGTGCTTAGGGCCATGGTAAGCCATCTAAATACGGTGCTTAGGGACATGGTTTACAAGTGGGCATGGTAGAGTTAGATAATGGTTGGATTTGATGATCTGAAAGGCCTTTTCCAACCAAACCGATTCTACAGTGTACATCATGGAGTAGTATTAGAGCATACAAACTAACTTTATTCAGACAAAACCATGCCAGAAGAAACAATCAAGGAGCACACAATCAACTAGAGCCACTCAGGGATTTAGTGTCACAAATCTAGACTAGGTTTAGTAGAAATTAAAATCCCCAAAATGCATAGGGTAGCACTGTCGCATCATCACCACCATTTCACCCCAGAGTACAGCTGGCAGTTCTGCACCCAACAGGCATCCCCAACAGATCGTGAACACAGCTACACAGAATATACTCTCAATTATTTATGTGCTGCATTCATTCAGACAGACACCTTAGTAAAGTCTCCTTAGCTACACCTCCCACATTTCCAAGACCTGACATGAATCAAGACTAACAAAGTTTTCAGCATTAAAAATAGAAAGAAAAGGTGCATTGATTTCTGTTTATATTCATCCATTTGATAACCCATTAAAACAGCATAATGTTCAATGAAAAGCAGTTAGGAACTTCATACACAGTAACATTCACTGAAGACTATCAAAATTTTTCAGAACAAAAATACTAACAGGGATGAGGAACTTCTTGATTTCTTCCAGTGCATGTCCCATTCTGGCATATGCTTCTGCCGGTGGAGCAAACACTTCAATTAAAACATGCAGGTCATCATTTAGGTGGAAGTACTTTGCCTCTCCACTTTTTCTCAATTCTTCCTCCTAGGAGGTAAGAGAAACATTGGGTTTTTTCTGCTTTATTTTAAACATATTATAATGTAAGTGTTACAGTTCTTTCAGAAGCATTTGCACATACTCACTTTCAGATGTCAACAGAAAAAAAGTATTAAATAACAGAATTTTCCAGCACAACGCAGTCATGTTCCTAAAGCAAACTGATACTATTCTCATGTTGTAGCAACAGTAAGCAATAAGTACCACACAAGATAGGACCCATCAGCTTTGGCTCACATAAACTTGTAGCACAATGGAGAATGTTTTCAGGAGTTTAAGTACATCAGTTTCATGTAGAAGACACTGAAAAACGTAAGTGAACTTGAAGCCTCTTTTTTCAAGAGTAAAGTCTTTAGAAGTAAGTTTGAACTAATATTCCACAAAAGTAAGATTCTTTAACCAATATTATTTCAAATTTAGCATTACTGCACTGCTCTGACACTTCTTATTTTCTGTTCTCACAAACCCTCCTATCCCCATCAGAATGTCCTTCACAGAACTGTGCTACTTGGACATGAAACTAACAGCATGTAGGATAAGGAAGGAGGTCATCTCCATTTCAGAAGAAAAATTATGCTGTTCTTCACCCAAACCACTTCAAGATGGCTGAGAATCAATGATTTCAATGCAGTGGAGCAAGGCTCAGTTCTCAAATATTTGCATTCACATGTAAAGTGTTCACAGACCTAAAGAACAGATTTTCAGTCTTACATAGGTTCCTCCCATCCTCTGTGTATCCAACAAGGGCATTCCAGGAGGGTAAACCACCATTAAAAATTGCACTGTATTACAATAGAATATATCAAATTCTTCCCAGTTCTGCTGTCTAAAACACAAAGCCCGAAGAATTCTCCCTGGTGGCTTATTGTATTTAGCAAGTACCAGGTAGGTACGTCGTCCTTCTGGTTACTAAAATTACAGTTTCAGTGACAGTTGAAATCTCTCCCCACGCACAACCCTTTAATGATGGGTTGAGGTTTAGAAATGACACTCTGTTTCTGTTTCTCATAAATACCATTTTTGTCCTTATACTGTGTTTGACTATATGGATATTTAAAAAAAAAAAAAATCAATGGATTCTAGTTAGCTGTTAGAGCATCCATAGCATGAATATAAAGAGGTCATAGTCAGCACGATTAGACTTTGTCAGCAAAACCATTATTTTGTCAATATAAATAATAGATCTTCAAAATAAGAAGTAAACTAATATAAACATTACAGCTCTTAAACATTCAGTTTTACTAGAAACTGTTTCTCACTTAAATATTTACTCTAAGTACAGTTATTCAAGACCTAAACCCCAACATTTGGCACTGGAAGCTAGACATACTTATCAGTGGGGTTCTCTATATACTTCGTATTTTAGTATATACATCCATGTCCCTTTATTTAAAGGACAATAAATAAAAAAAAAAAAATCACTGTGCAGTTAGATAAGCAGAGAATGGAGAATTAAGAAAATTAATTTATGTGGTTATCATAACAGCAATAAGGAATTAAAAAGTCACAATTCATTGAGTAGTGCCTGGTAAAAAAGGATTTCAGTCAGCAATTTTAACAAAACACACAGGAAATTTCTGTGCAGGCTATTGTAAAACCATTCCCATAAACAAACTCTTAATTTTAAAGTTATCCTTTTTTTCCTTACTTCATTTGCAAAATTCACTTCAAGGAATTTTTTAATTCTATAGTATGACTTTGCAATACACTATCCTCCAGCTCTTAACAGAACACATATGAGAATGAACTCATTCATTGGCCTATATCTCCCAACTTCAGGCATATATTAATCACTTCAGTGGTTTTTTTGTTCCTCATATTGACCAACAGAAAAGGCACAGTTTCTTCTTCTTCCAGTATCTCTCACTGAAAGTATTTTTAGCTCCTAGAAAAATTTCAACCATTATCTGACAGTACATACATTGGCTTGCCCAGTGTGTGTGGATATTGCTCACCTCAAGGGAGGTGAAAGGCAGCAAGGTTACCACTTTCTTTAAAAAAAAAAATAATAATTTGTCCATAAAATCATAGAATAGTTTGGGTTGAAAGCGACTGTCAAGATCATCTAGTTCTAACTCCCCTGCCATGGGCAGGGACACCTCCCACTAGACCAGGTTGCTCAAAGCCCCATCCAGCCTGGCCTTGAACTTTTCCAGGGAGGGGGCTTCCCAGCTTCTCCGGGCAACCTGTCCCAGTGTCTCACCACCCTCACAGAAAAGAATTTCTTCTTAATATCCAATCTACATCTACGCTCAGTTTGACACCATTAGCTCTTGTCCTACCCCTACACTCTCTGACAAAAAGTCCCTTCCCTTCTTTCCCATAGGCCCCCTTCAGGTACTGAAAAGCTGTAATAAGGTCTCCCTAGAGGTCTTCTGCAGGCTCACCAACCTCAACTTCCTCAGCTTGTCCTCATAGGGCAAGTGCTTCAACCTTTTGATCATCTTCATGGGCCTCCTCTGGACTTGCTCCAACAGGTCCTTGTCCTATTTATGTTGTGTTCACCAGAGCTGAAGACAGTACTGCAGGTGGGGTCTCACAAAACCAGAGTAGAGGGACAGAATCACCTCCCTTGACCTGCTGGCCATGCTTCTTTTGATGCAGCCCAGGATGTAACTGGCTTTCTAGGCTGCAAGTGCACACTGCTAGCTCATATTTGTTTTTTTTTTCATCCACCAACATCCCTGAGTCCTTCTCTACAGGGCTACTCTCAATCCACTCATCACCCAGCCTGTGCTTGAGATTGCCCCAACCCAGGTGCAGGTCCTTGCACTTGGCCTTGTTGAACTTCACAAGGTTAGCATGGGCCCACCTCTCCAGTCTGTCAAAATCCATCTGGATGGCATCCCTTCCGTCCAGCATGTCGACCACGCTACACAGCTCAGTGTCATTGGCAAAGCTGCTGCGTGTGAGACTCAAAAAAAAAGAAAGGATTGTCTCAACATTGCAAAGACGCATAGTTTGGAACTGCAAGGCTTATCACAACAAACTGCTGCTATAGTAATTAACCAACTTTCTGAAGCATTAGTAGCAACTGACACCTGCAAGGCCTTGAATATGGCTTGGACAGGAGGCCTTTTGTAACATTCTGCAAGAGAATATGGTGAAGCATCAAAGACACAGCAATAATTTAGCAAGGAACTGACACACTGCTGCAAAGGAGTCTAGATAACCGGGACTGCTAATGAGCATCTAGGTAATGAAACATGAACTCCATTGTCAGTAAGAGAGCAGCCACCTGGCCATCTGGTCTAAACCAGACTTGTAGTCACCAGCTCAGCCAGCCCAGTATTTTTGAGCCAAAGGTGAAAAGTACATAGCGAGGAAGACTAAGAGCCTTCCTCCAGAAGACCCCGGCCCACGACCACCAGACAGCAGCACGCATGCAGCAAGAGGAGATTTATCACACCTAGTTCCCATTAAAAGGTGGAGAAAAGGTGGGGACAATGGAAATAAAAAGTGCAGACCAGCACCTAGTTGGAATATTCCCTCATCGATGATGTTGGACCTGTGGGATACCACTGGACTCAGAGGTGGTATTGGTTTCTTCTTTTTTGCCCTTCTCTTTCCTCCCCCACTCCCTCCTTCTCTCTCTTTCTTTGCACTTGGAGAATAAATACTCAATGCAACACTGACTTCATTTGTGTCTTAATTTCACCTCTGGGTCCACTGTAGCTCAACTAAGTACAATCTGGGACAAGACATCAAGGATGCACAAAATCTCCACCTTCTTACACAATTTATCACACCAAATGACTCCTGGTTTGGACAATCTGATTTAACTTCATGTTTTCAGTACAGATATACCCCTGCAGTACTGCACTCTGGAAGCCTCATGAGAAAACTCATCTGCTTTTTCTCTGTACTTTGTGCTCTTGTATTTCAGCCCTCTGCGGTCCAGAAAAAAGTACCAATCCAGCTGATGATACGCAGCAGCACAAGGCATCTGACAATACGCCTAATAAAGAGCTGATATACCTTGCCCTGTACTCTGTCCTGCTTATAGAGGCTTTTGCTTCTCATCCTACTTGTTAAAGTATCAAGAACCAAATACCAGCCCTAGAAGTCTACTGCTTTAAATCAGAAGGTTAAGTAGCAGTATTTATCAAAATGTGCTCATAGTACACTTCCATCTTCACTACATCACCTTTGATTTAGATTCTAAATTTCTTTATGTACTACCTGATTAACTATTTGTAATGTTACCTTATATTTGGCTTCTGTCATATTTTACAAATAATTCAGACTACTGAAGTTGCTGAAAAGCCTGTAGCAGTTCTAACTGTTAGTAACACATGAATAATCTATTCAGGAAGGCTTTATTTCTTTAAATTTATAATATAAAAGCAATCTCATCACGGAATAAAGAAATTCTGAAATGGGTTCTCTTTTTCACTCTTCTATAGACACATGAAAGCCTGAGTAGTCTAGCACAAGATATCTTGGCACTGACTAGTGATAAGTCAATGATGAAGTGACAGCACAGCCTGAAAAAACATGTTAACTGTAGAGAATTACTGAATCGCGATATTGTATATCACAAGTAAATACACAGGCCCTCCAGATGTGGAGAAAAGAGATGGAAATAGAAGCCTAGACAGACTATAGAACTCAGTTTAATGACTAAGGAACAAAGAGGGAAAAGTTGTTCCTGAATGTGCTGTTAAATCCAAATCTCTTGTTAGGAAGAAGATTGGACATTCTAAAAAGGCAATTACAAGTCAAAGCTAGAGAAATACTGTTGCCCAAAATGGATTTAAAGTCAGACTAGTTTATCTGCATCTATTATCCTGGTTTATCTAAATCTTTCCCTAGAGAAGTTGCAAGAGATAATGGTGATATTTGCTACATTTTCTCAACCTTTCATATCAATTAGTTTTCTTCTGAAAACTTCAAAGGCTTTTAAAGTTCAAAAGAAATAAACAAAAAAAATATTTTGAAATTTAGCTTAGAAAAGTCTATAAACTTTAACTCTTTCCTGAAGAAAACTGGCATTAATCATTATTCTTTAAAACTGGTAACATAGCAGGTATACTAACATTTGTTTAGAAATATCTGACAATCTAATCTAGCGCTTCCAAGAATTGGTTCACCCCAGAATATTCCATCACCACCACTAAGTAGACACATAGCATATGCTGTCTCACTTTTAGCGACAGCAAAGATGCTGGAATAAACTTGTTTGAGACAACAGATCAGATCCTCAGCTCTATGTAGTGCAAATCTGACCTCAGTGCAAGAGTACTAATTTACATCAGCTCAAGTTTTTTAAAATTTGTGATAATGTAATTTTAGAGATTTTTCCACCTGTAACAAATTTTTATCACAATAGCGCAAAAAAAAAATAGCTTGGGTTTTCCCCTGAATGTAATTGTTTTAAAATTACAGTTAATGCCATTCAACATTGTTCTACATCACCTATACAGTTCTGAAAACAAGTTTTGCTCTAACTTCCTGTTCATCAGCAGAATATAATATCATTCAGGAGATTTCATTTTCGGCTGACCCTTAGAAAAATTGAAAAGTCAATAAGAATTGGAAGAAAATCCTACACAATGGCAATTATAGTTTTCATTCAATTCTTTCTGTGCTACAAGATGCAAAATAGCAGGCTAAAAACTTGTAGATTTTCAGTTTGGTCAACCCATTAGAAAACAGTAAGAAACAACTAGGCTGGAGAAATTGTATAGTTGACAAGAAATATTTGAAGTCAGAGGTGCAATGGAAGAGCAGTCTATCTCCCATGTGTGTCTCCAGGCTGTTTCATCATTTATCTTCTCTAGAGCAGTGCTTTAAGCATTGCCAAGAAAGCAATGAAATTGCTTGGTTTGGCCCTTGGATAACTTGAAAGGAGAAAAAGCAATGTCCATTATTTACCATATTATTCTCCTCTAAGAGCAACTTAAGCTTCTCTCCATATTTGAAATATATCAGAGCAAGAGTATGGCCTGTAGCATTAGTACAAGGGGTAAATGGTTTTAAACTAGAAGAGGGTAGACTTAGTCTAGAAATAAGGAAGATACATTTTATCATGAGGGTGGTGAAATGATGGAACAGGTTGCACAGAGAGGTGGTGAAGGCCCCATCCCTTGAAACATTGAAGGTCAGGCTGGACAGGACTTTGAGCAAGCTGATCTTAAAAGTAACCCAGCTTATTGCAATGGGGTTGGACTACAGAGATAGATAGATATAGATATATAGATATTACCTTTAAAGATCCCTTCCAGCCCAAACAATTCTATGACTCAAAGGGTGATGGACAGTATTTGTCACTAAACCACACTAAACGCTCAACTAGATTTTTCAAGTAATGCATAAAATGCACTGGTCAACATGAAAACCTGGCAGCCTTTCTGAGCAGCAACCTGTTGCGGCTGAGTAATTCAGTCCTGGGTTTCTCTTTAGCAAAGATTACTTCTTTCTCACACAGAAATAACTCTTATAATTAACCTCCTTTTATTAAATAAAAAAAAAAATTCAGTGATTAATTCATTACCAAAGGAAACAATAAATGTTTATTTCAATCATTTGAACTTCTAAGATTCTTCCTCAGGACTCTAAGAATCAAGTTTGGATCTGAACTTTTGAGCATGGGCTTCTGCTTTTAATAAAACGAAGTTACACTGCAAAGCCATTAGAAACACTCAGGGGCCTTCCTACTCCACATATTCTGATATAAAAACATGTAATATAGCATCAGAAGAATATCAGTGTGACACATTCCACAACAACTGAGAAAGTTCACCAAGTGTCATTTAAAGCAATTTGGAAAGTTACTTTGTCAAGCTGGCTTATAGCAAGCTTCATATTTTTCTTTCTTTTCTAGCTTAACTGCCATATTTCCTCTCAAAGTTACTAGCAATGTAGTTTTTCATAATGAATTGTGAAACATTTTAAATTCAAAATTGCATAACGTGTATTGTATTACACAACACCTCCCATTCAAAAAAAATCAAGACTTTGTTGTAGTGGAATGTATTTGTATAAAACAGAAGTTATATTTACCTAAGTTACATTTCATAAAGATATTTTCAAGAAGGAGAGGGAAGAGCTGGCTCTTAAGTTGCACATAGCAAAGTAATTGATGAGCTCTGATCAAGTTCTTGATAAATACTCTATAAAACACACAACACTTATGTTTTGCTGATGCAACTCAGTAGCCAGCCTTCTAATTCACTCTTCCATATGCATGTGATTATTGGTCTTTATAGCACACAGTATTTTTAAGTTACATATTACATAACCACAGAAAGATTTCGCTGGAGGCCTATACAGCGCATTATGCTATAGGCAAGAAGTATGTTCAGTACTTTAATATGTATCATTAGGAGTGCTTCAGTTAAAAAAATGTAGTTCACCAGAGGGGACATATCTCCTCACTAAAGTACACTTACCTCCTACTAATTTAGTGAGAGATTTATTTCAATAAATAGTGAAAATGGTTGGCACAAAACACTTGTCAAGATAAAGAGGGTTCTCTTCTGCTGCCTATTTTAGATCTTCTAATGGACATATCCAACCACTATAACCAAATATTTCCCATAAAGACAATTTCAAATTTTCAGTTACTTCAGCTGCATTAAGTCACTCTGAGTTCCAGATTAGTTTTTCTGGTTGCATTTTATATTAGATTAGATGATCTCTAAGGTCCCTTCCAACCCCAGCCATTCTATATTCTTTCATCAGCTCTTTTTCCTCTTTGTCAAGAAGTGTTACTAAATTTACATGTGAAAACCTTTGTTTGGATCTGTCTAGAAGTCAGGTTGCTTCAAAAGTCAGAATACTACCTCATTCACTTGGGTAATGCTCATTAAACTGTACAAGTCCAGTCTGGAGCACTGCTAATCCCCTACTAACCCCCTAATATCATGGTAGCCTCAAAATACAGCTCATCTGAATATTAACCAATATGAGGATATCCTAGGCTTTTTATTTACTCCTTTTTTTTGTTATAGAGTTTGCTCACATTCCCCAAAATTTTAGGAAGCTTAAGAAATTCAGGTATCAAGCATTCCATCAAAGTACTCAGGTCTTACCTTTGTCTTGTCCCTCATAGAACCTTTTCCCAAAATAGACATTTTGGTCAGTGTTTCTTCCTGTAAACGTTTTAGAGAATTTCCACGTGGACCCAACAGTTTTCCCACAAAGTTGAACTGTAAAAAAAACCCACACAAAAAATACTAACTTAATTCGATTTTGAAGCCTAAACAAACAAGTAAAATAAAATATTTTGTTGAAACACCTTTGTGTTCTAGGTACAAAAGAGTATTAGAATGTCAATTAAACAATCATTAAGTACAACTGTGTAGGGCAGTTTCCAGCATGTCAGTGGCTCCACCAGGTGTCAACAGAAACACAGAAGTACCTTGAACTCAAAGAAATCAAGTAGTATGAAGATAATTTTATGTTTATCCCATTCAACACTCAGAACAGATGTGCTCAAATCACTATTCAGTTTTTCAACAATTGTTACCAGGTACATAATCATAAAAGCAAAGCTGGCAGCAATCTCACAGATATGATACTAAGAAAAGCTCTGAAGAAAAATAATATCTTAATTGCCTTATTATCCTTTGATGATTTATGAAGTAACCCACTCAATATATACTACACTAAAACACAGAAACAAGTGAGCAATTATATCCAGAGAACATAATTATATAAATCTAGTCCCAAACCAGAATCAGCACTTAAGACTTCAATTGCCAGTAAAGCTCCATTACCAGTGATGTTTACAAAAGCCAGTTGGGGTTCATAGGCATCAAAATAGAACATTAAAACAACTAAGGAGAACTGGTGAAGTAGTGAGCTACAAAAAGAAAAAAAATATCAGGAAAATCCAAATATTTCATAGAATCATGGAAAATTTTTTTTAGGTTGGAAAAGAGCTTTAAGATCACAAAGTGCAACTGCTAACCTAGCACTGCCAGAACCACCACTAAACCATGTCCCTAAGTACCACATCTACACATCTTTCAACACCTCCAGGGATGGTGTCTCCACCCCTTCCCTGGGCACCCTATTCCAATTTTTAACCACTCTGCCAGTACAGAAATTTTTCCTTATACCCAATCTAAACCTCCCCTGGCACAACTTGAGGCCATTTCCTCTCATTCTATTGCTTGTTCCATGGGAGAAGAGACCAACTTCCACCTCGCTACTACCTCCTTTCAAGTGAAGCAAGGGCCCGACGGAAACGTACTATCTAAAAGCCTTTAAACAAGCAGCAGTAATAAACTAACAGTTGCATCGTGAGATGGATACGCACACACATTGTAATTGCTGAGTAGGACTTATCATCGAGAAGGGAATGCAAGGCTACTATGAGATGGACAGGCACAGGGTGCCTCAAGACTGCAGACCTTGCTTGTCAGCAAGAACAAAGGAGTACAGGCTATAGTTCACCAAAAGAACATGGTGAGGAAGAGGAGGATGAAGTAAACAACCACCAGATAACTCTGAAGCCCACCAAGAGACTATAATGCACATGTGGGAGTGGGTGGTAATCTATGATAATGAGTTCTTAGAAAATAATGAATATGTTAATAACTTCTCAGAAATACCGTGAATATGTATGTGTAACCTGCACATCTCTCTATGGCACGAACATCAGGCAGCACAATCCCCTGTGTCCAGTGCTGCCATAAAGAATACCCACTTAATAGTCACCAAGACTATTGAGTCCTGATTTTGACTTTTCACAGCATCACAGGTAGCTATAAACAGCCTCATTTTCTCCAGGCTAAACAAGCCCAGTTTCCTCAGAGGGCTTGTTCTCTAGACACTTCACCAGCCTCATTCATTGAATCATAGAACATTTTCAGCTGGAAGAGACCTTCAAGATCATCAAGTCCAACCTTTTCCTAGTCTTATCAACACCACTAAACCATGTCCCTCAATGCAACATCTACCTCGTTGCCCTTCTCTGGATATACTCCAGCACCTCAATATCTGTCTTGTAGGGAAGGGCCTAAAACTGAGCACAGGATTCCAGTTGTGGCCTCACCAGTACTAAATATAGTGGTCCTACTGGCCACACTATTCCTGATACAGGCCAGGATACTGTTGGCCTTTGCCACCTGGGCACACTGCTGGCTTATGGTCAGCTGGCTGTCCACCAACACCTCCAGGTTCTTCTCCCCCAGGCAGCTCTCCAGCCACTCTTCCCCAAGCCTGTAGCACTGCCTGGGGTTGTTAGGACCTAAATGCAAGACCTAGCCCTTGGCCTTGTTGAACTTCATACAGTTGGCCCCAGCCCACTGATCCAGCCCATCCAGATCCCTCTGCAGAACACCCCTACCTTCAAGCAAACCAACACTCCGCCCAACTTGCTGCTACCTGTAAATTTTCTGAGGGTGAACTTGACCCCCTTATCTAGATGATTGAAAAAGATATTAAACAAGCTGCCCCCAATAGCCCTGGGGACCCACTTGTGACCAGCTGCCAACTGAATTTAACTCCATTTACCACAACTCTGCCACAAAACATACAGCTGGTGCTCTTCTAGCTCAGAAGATGCTTCAGAGAGAAAATAGACTAAGGAAAACAAGTATCAAAAACCCCATTCATAATAAAGGAAAACAAGAAGGGATAGCCCACCTATTGTTGTTTCAAGAACACAAACATCAGACTTAGTAGAGCTAGGGGGTGTGAGAGTTTTCATGAGCACTGCTCTGTAGGGTATATATTGCCAGTTACATATACCAGGAAAAGTGCTGTGTACATGCAACAATTTACTTTTTTTACATCACAACACTGTATTTTGGAAGGTATATAAAATTTGAAGGGTAGTTACAGAGAAGACTAGAGGATTCACTTTAAATATGCAGACAACTACTTTTGGGGGGAGGGGTGTTAACATCACATAAAAGAGCTGATAAACACTTCCTGAAAGTAATAATTTATTCCTGAATTGGATTTAATGTGACATCTTCTCACAGGAAATGCCCACATGCTGGATAGCACCAACTCCAAGACAGATCCACCACTGCCTAAAGTGAAGCCTATTAATGACATAGCACTTCTGAGATAACATATCTAAGAACAGGTAAAAACACTATGAAGTTGAGGAAAGTGAGAAAATGAAACAGCTCTGCAGGTACCCAGGTTTGTGAAGGAGAGGGAGGAGGTAGTCCAAGGGCCAGAGCAGAGATTCCCCTGCAGCCCATGGTAAAGACCATGGTGAAGTAGGTTGTTCCCCTGCAGCCCATGGAGGACCCCACACCAGAGAAGGTGGATGTGCCTGAAAAAAGCTGCAGCCCATGGGGAGCCCATGCTGAAGCAGGCTCCTAGCAGGAGCTGTAACCTCTGGAGACGAATGCACATGTGAGCAGATTTTCCAGGAGGACCTTCAGGGGACTCACGCTGGAGCAGTCTGTTCCACAGGCTACAGTCCTTCAGGAAGGGATTCACACAGGAGCAGTTCTTGAACTGCAGCCCATGGAAAGGACTCACAGTGGAGCAGTCAGAGGACAAATTTATCCCATATGAAGAAGCCCAGGCTGGAACATGGGAAGAGCATGAGGAAGAAGGAACAGCATTCCATCACCATTCCATATCTACTGTGTCACTTGGGGGAAAGAGATACAAGTCAAGAATGAAGTTGAGTCCACAAGGAAGTGGAGAGATTGTAGGAAAGGTGATTTCTGTTTTCTCACTTTTGTTACAATTAATTGGCAATAAATTCATTTTCCCCAAGTCAAGTCTGTTCTGCCTGTGACTAACTGGTGAGTTGTCTCCTCGCCTTCACCTCAACCCACATGCTTTTCATCTTGCTTTCTTCCGTCATCCTGTTAAGGGGGGGGAAAGAGCTAGAACAGCTTGGTGGGCACCTTGCAGCCAGCTAAGGTCAACTCACCACAATTCCTGTCAAAATAATACTACAATAGAGATTATTTATCAAACTATTATTCAGTACTGTTTACTAGCTCTGTAAAAACCAGGTTATTCAAACTGTCATAATCTAAAGTGACAGCATCAAGTTAAAGAGACAGGCACAAGTAAAATACAGTGATGCCAAACAACAGGCTTAAACTACTTGTTTATCATCTCAAATTTATGAAACAGTTTGCAAATTCTTTGACTGCTCCTCTGTTATTGGCTCACTAAAGGGCCAAGATGGACTTCTTTGATCTCCCTATTCCACTGGAGGAATTTGAAAACATTTTGACAGCAGCAGCCCAAAATCCATTGTTGCTACACTGGAACTGTTGATGGAAAAAAGGTCCAGTTGCAGCAACCCTACACTATAGAAAGAAGCTACTAAATTTAAAAGTCTTTGATGAATTAGTTTGGGTTTTTTTTAAAATTATCAGGCTAAATCTCAAATTCTCAGGAAATTTCTTTAAATGAGTTTTATTAGATACATTCCATTTTTTTTCTAATAGGTCCTAAGATAAGGAAAACGTTTATCAGAAATAGGTTGCCCAGTAAAATGGTAGAAGTCTCCCTTGCCGAAATATTCAGGACTCTGGGCCACTGACAGGGCCTTGTGTAATCTAATTTACAGTCATCATTTCAGCATAATTTTGGACCAGATGTTCTCTAGAGGTCTCTTCTAACTTGTACTTCTGATTTTATTATTATTACTAGAGGTATAACTGCAAGGAAATCAAACAAATTGAAACAATTCATAACAAGTCTGAACTTCCATAAGCCAATAACTTCTTGTAAACAGTTGCTAAAATAAAGAATCATTACTCATGAACAGTTAGGCTCAAATGAAAACTTTCATGTAGTGGAATACAACACAAATTTTTCAAGTATTACTTAAGATTACTTATATTTACTTCAAAATAGCCTTTTAAGCTATTAGACATAAAAAAATTAGAAGTTAAAACAAAAATAATGTGCATGGAATGCATAGCTCTGAATAACACTTCCTAACTGGAACAAACAACTACCTATTAAAACACAGCCTACAAATCATAATCACATATCTGCAAGTAAAGTGAAATCCACTTTGTATGTAATCAAAAGTGACTGGAAGGCTTGAGTGTTCAGAGAAGATTTGGGGGCTCCAAAGTACATTTGTTTACTCCAGCTGTATTTTAACTGAAGCCAAAGTTTAATATGTTGTGTATATCTAAAAATTGACCTAGAAAAACCTTTAATGCCACCAGAAGCTGTCATCTTCAAGACCAAAGAGTCTCTA